TTTTACATTGTTATCTACAAATTGCATTTATCTCTGACATTTTTCTGCTTAACCTATCTAGTTATTTCTTATTGAGTGCTGGATATGTGGCGTTAAATAGTCGATTGTATGGATTTTGTTGTCTTTATAGAGTGTTCATTTTTTGTTTTGGTGGGCAGTTATCTTTGGATCAGCTTGATCTCTTTAAGTCTTTTATATTTTATTTTTAATTTTTTTGTTAATCCTAACCCAAGGATACTTTTCCATTGATTTTATAGAAAGAGTAGAAGGGAGGGAAGGAGGGGAGGAAAGAGACAGAGAGAGAGAGAGACATCAATTGGCTGCCTCCTGCACGACCCCAACCAGGGCCAGGGATAAAACCTGCAACCCAGCTACGTGCCCTTGACTGGGAATTGAACCCATGACCCTTTAGTTACAGTGACCCAGTAATGCTGAGCCAGACCATCCAGTACTCTGGAAGGCTTTTTAAAAATCCTGTTATGGCCCTGACCAGTGTGGCTCGATTGGAGCATTGTCCCACACACTGAAAGGTCACAAGTTTAATTTGCTGTCAGGGGACATACCCAAGTTGCAGGTTTGGTCCCCAGTCTGGGAGTGTACTGAAGGCAAGTGATTGGTGTTTCTCTCCTCTCCCTTGCCCTTCCCCTATCTCTCTAAAAAATCTATTAAAAATAATAAAATAAGGAATAAAAATCCTTTTGTGGCCTATCTGGAGTAGCTTTTCCTGTAGGCTGTTTCGAGGATCTTCCCTGAATGTTAAGTCTCTTCTCTCTAGCTGGTTGAAGCTCAAGTGTCTGCCAGCCCTGTACAGACTTGAGTTGTTCAGCTTACAGTTCTGTTAGTTGTTCTTTTCCCACCAGTCATACTTTGCGTGGCCTCGTGGAATCTCACCCTAGCATGCAACACAGCTTTGCATGCCAAAGTCTCAGCGGGACCTTCATGCATGTTTACAGAGTCTTTCTCTACATAGTTCCCTCTTCACTAGGATTCTGCCCCACAAATTTCAACTGTTCAACCCCCCTGAACTCCGATTCCTTCTCACCTCAGCAAGACCACCATGCTGTGCTTTAGCTCCCCCTCGTGGACCGTGAATTTTGCTGTAGACAAGGCGCATCTACCAATCAAGAGCCAGAACCATCATAGGGTTTCCTTGTTTGTATCCCTTCTCTCAGCAGTCAGAAGTTCTGTACTGCCTGTGGTGCAGTGTCTGAAAGGGATTGTTCTGTATGTTTTGTCCAGTTTTCTAGTTATTTGCTGTAGGAGTGAAAGTCTGTATCAGTTCCTTCATGGTCTGAGTTGGGAAACCCTCAGCCACAGACCAGAATCTCTAGCCAGTACATTTCAGTACCTGCATGCTCCCTGAGAGCTGGAACATTGTTATCTTTATATTTCATGCTTGTTCTTTCCAGGTAGTCTTTTCTACTTATACTATAGCAGTTGTCTTTATCCCATGTTTCTCCATTTGGTATGGTTAAAATGTGATTCTTTCGCCCGACCAGTGTGGCTCAGTGGTTGAGCGTCAACCCATGCACCAAGAGGTTACTGGTTTGATTCCCAGTCAGGGCACATGCCCTGGTTTCGGGCTCGATCCCCAGTGAGGGGAGTGCAGGAGGCAGTTAATCAATGGTTGTATTCTCTCTCATATTGATGTTTCTATCTCTTTCTCCTTCTCCCTTCCTCTCTTTCTAAAAATCAATAAAAATATATTTTTTAAAAATGTGATGTTTTTGTGTTTGATACATAGTAATAGGACTTGTAGTTTTTAGAACATACACTTAAAGGTTAGTTTGAATATGTAGCTTTTAAAATTTTAATCAAAATGATTTTTTATTGTTTTTGTTTGATTTTTTTTTTCATGTAAACTATTTCTTTCAGTCAAGTGAATTATATCTAGGAACAACTGACCTATAATGTTGAAAAGAATTTGTGAGGTTTCCTATCAGTTAACATAGTTTAAACTAAAATGTCAAGGTACAGGCTAAATGGACTCTTGAGAATGAGCAAAGGACAAGAAGCTGAGTTATTTGTGTTCATTTTGTCTGGGAATCACCACATGTGCCTGTAAGGCTGAGTAATCATGACTTATTAGTGTGGTTATGGAAAGTATATATCAGTTTAGTTGTGTGAATGAACTGTCCTTTCTTTAGGGAAAAAATTCTCATCAGATTGCTGAAAATTTCCCTTTTTAGAGTCACTCAAAATTAAAACTATGAATAAAGTCTTGTATCTTTTTGGATAATGTGTTTAATTTGATGGGGTGCATAGTTTATCTGTACTTTTAAAATAGAAATGTACTTTTTTTCTTCATAAATATCCCAGAAATCTCATTTTATATTCCAGGAAAGTTCAATTTTTGTTCTAATGTTGAGGGGTAGACTGTTTCTGCGGTCTATAGGGGACAGTCATACGCCAATATCATAGACAAACTCTTGAACTTTTTTAAACAATAAAGGTGAAAGTTATAATTTTTTCTTTAAATTGCATCTGATGCTTAACTACACAGTGAGAAATTTTTCACTGATTATTCAGTTATTCTGAATTCCCCAAATTTTAAACTTTTTTTTTTTTTTTTTTTTTAGGATTATACAGTAATCTTCTCCCCTCCCCATTTGTGAAATCTCTTATGCACATAGTATTCAAAGAGACCATTGTAGATTTCCTGGCTAATAACTTTTTTTTTTTAAAGACCTGAATACTCAAAAGCATTCTTTCAAAAACATACAATAATTATTTTTAAAACGTATATATTACTATTTATGGATTTCTCTGAATTAAAACTCAAGAAAAAGAGGAACCAACTAAAAATTCACATAGCTTTTTTTGGTTCAGAAAAACCTAATAACTAATTGATTCAGTGCTAAGTGTAGAACTTCATTCTTTATATTTTATTTGAACAAAGATACTTATTGCATTTAGAAAGAAATGTAGCTGAGATTTATGAATATCCTTTTACATATTAACATGCAACAAAAATTTTTGTTTTATATTGCCTTTTACCTTAACAGCAGTAGGAGTTCTTTGGTGTCTTATTTTTATCACTGCATCTTATACATGGTCTTTGAACCACAAATTCTTTCACTATTTAATTTTATAAGACTCTCTCATATACAGAGATCACTTAGTGTGTGTGTGTGTGTGTGTGTGTGTGTGTGTATGTGTATAATCCTCACCCAAAGATATTTTTCTATTTATCTTCAGACAGAATGGGAGGGAGGGAGGGAGAAAGAGAGTGAGTGAGAGAGAGAGAGAGAGAGAGAGAAAATCTACTTGAGAGGGACACATCCACTGGTTGCCTCCCATACGACCCTGACCAGGGCCGGGGCCGAACCACAACCGAGGTACGTGCCCTTGACCTGAGTCAAACCCACGACTCTTTGTCCACGGGCCGATCCTCTAACCAGTAAGCCCAACTGGCCAGGGTTACAGTGTTTTTCTTCAGAACAGCTAATAGCTGGTACTTTTTGAGGGCTTACTATATGCCCAGTCCTGTTCTAAGATGAACACTTTATATGAATTAACAAATTTAAACTTTACAACCTCCCCAGAATATAGATCCTGAAGGTATTTTATTATTTCCATTGTATAGATGAGGAAAGCAAGGCTTAGAAGATAAGTGGCAGAGGCCAGAACCTAAACCAGAACATCTGGCTCTAGAAATTATGCTTATGAGCACTATGCTATAAACTTTGTCTACAGTATGCTTTAAAGTGAATACTCATACCCTGGGTGTTAGAGCACCACGTTAAGAATGTACAACTTTTAGATCTTACGTTTTATGAGAACTTTAGAAATTATCATTGGATTTTATTGACATGTTTGATTATATTTGGAGTTTTGTGATTTGGAGCTGGATAACACCATAAAATGAATCTAATTCTCTTGCCTTGCAGAAGAATAAACTGACTTTTAATTTACTATTTTCCCTATGATTCTTAAACTTAGCCTATTAGAACCTAAGTTATTTGAAACTCTAAAGGAGCTTGGTGATAACATACAGGTTCCCACTCCTTTCTTTTGGATCAATCTATGCTTAGGAGACCCAGGAGTTCATATTTTTAAAAAACTCCCTAGTTGATTCTTATGCAGAAACCTCACCTTGGCCGACATGTATATTTGGGAACCCTTGTTTAAGCCTTGATTGCATTATTAACCCATTTTAATCTATATGATTAAAATATAAGTGAGGCCCTAGCCGGTTTGGCTCAGCGGTAAGAGCATCAGCCTGCGGTCCAGAGAGACCTGGGTTCGGTTCCCGCTAGGGGTAGGTACCTCGGTTGCAGTTTGTCCCCGGCCCTGGTTGGGTTGTGCGGGTGGCAGCCACTCGATGTGTCCCTTTTACGTCGATATTTCTCTCTCTCTCTTTCTCTCTCTCCTTTCTGCTCTATCTGAACAAAAATGGAAAAATGTCCTCGGATGAGGATAAAAATAATAATAATAAAATATAAGTGAGGTAGTTATTTCACCAACTATTTTTAAGGACAAAAAATTATATTCTCAAATTATGCAAAAAAAAAAAAAGCAGCACTGGAAGTTTTTATCAAAGGAACTATAACCTTCTTACAAATGAGAGATACAGATAAAATCAGAATCAAGCCAGAAATCATATGCTTTCTTGGGACGAGTATTGTGAGAGGGAAATTGAATACAAAAGGACACAGGAAACTTTTTGCAGTGATGAAAATGTCTTGTATCTTGATTCGTTGTTACACATATTTGTCAAAACTCTTAATATAGACCTTAAAAAGTGACTCTTACAATATGTAAATTATCAATCTGATTTTTTTTTTTTTTTTTTTAAGCAAGCTAGGAAGAAATTCTGGGAAGGAATTTTTCAAATTACCATCTGTATCTTGAAATATTTAGTTAAATAGATTCTTGTTCTTTAAAAGCTAAGATTTTTCTATTAATATGTCAATTAAAGTACCATTAAAATAGCATTTATATTGATTTTTCCTTTTACATTAATATTTCTAATCAAGTTTCTCGTATTTGTTTTATAGGGTCCACATATAGCTTCAGTTACATTAGCTGCTTATGAGTGCAATTCAGTTAATTTCCCTGAACCGCCCTATCCAGATCAGATTATTTGTCCAGATGAAGAGGGCATTGAAGGATCTGTTTCTTTGTGGAGCATCATCTCAAAAGTTAGGATTGAGGCCTGCATGTGGGTAAGATGTCCGTTCTCATATTTGTCTAAAAGTAACCTGTCTGTATATTTTGTTGTACCTCATTAAAATTGAATCCAAACATATACCAAGTCAGTAGATAATTAATTCATGAAGTCATCAGCTGCCTACTTCCAAGTAAAACAAACCCTTTAGAGCTTTTTCTGTTCATTAATGACATTCAGAAGGAAGGCATGAAGCCATAGTACCATGGAGCAATTGATGCCAAGTAGACAACAGCAGGGAAAAGGAGTATGGATGATACAACTATACTATTTTGTACAACTTCACCAATGTTTATATATTTGATAAACACACAGCATGTGCTTAAATATCAGTCTCAGATTGGTAAATGTTATGTCTCTCTCCTAAATTTAAATACTCAGTGGTTATTCTTAGAGGACTCATTTTATTTTCTGAATTGTTACAATACTAAGTAAGGTGAGACATTTCCTCATAAACCAAGCTTTACTATGGTTGTACATTTTGATCTTCCTTTCAGTTATACCGATTCTTTTTTTTTTCCAATGATTTGCTTAAGTATGTTTTGGAAAATTTTTGGACTACATGTTCAGTGGCAAATGTATTTTAACTCATACAAAACATTTTTTTCCTATATGCTTAAATTCATCCAGGTGTCTGTCATTGAGGAATAGTTCATTTGCTCAAAAGTTCCTATTACCATTTGGATTTCTTTTTCTTTTTTGTTAATTCTCACCCAAGGATATTTTTTCATTGATTTTTAGAGAAAATGGGAGGGAGGGAGAGAAAGGGAGAGAGAAACACTGTTGTCAAAGAGAACATTGATTGGTTGCCTCCCTCATGACCCTGACCAGGGCTGGGGATTGAACCTGCAACCAAGATACATGCCTTTGACCGGAATCGAACCCACGACCCTTTGGTCCATGGGCCTACGCTCTAACCTCTGAGCCAAACCAACCAGGGCTGGATTATTTTTTACTTCATCTTTTGCATTTACGAAATTATATATTACCTGTAACTTTTTTCTCTAACAGTTTCTTATAAAATAAAAAATACGGAACAGATTACTTAAAAACCTTAACTAAAATGAAGGTGAATGTGAATACTATGCCCACAGGAGAGGCAGAGTTTTGAAACACATTTAAGTGGTAGCAGTTATGTTGTGTTTTAAAAGAATTATAAGGGAAATGCCATACATTGAACTTGCTGAATATGAAAGACAGGAAAAATTGTCATGTTTCCTGTTACTCTTTTATAAACACTGGAAACAGATTCATTGTACTAGTTGCCTATGTTTTTAAAATTTGACCACATTAGTTTTTTGATGAAAAAATTTTATTAAAATAACAGAAGATACTTGGAACATGCTAGAAAGGGGCTATGTACATAGACTTTAGTTTTTTATTTTTCTTTTGTTCTTTCAAAAATGATTTACGAAGCTGGATTAACACCATAGCCAATAAAGAAATTTCCATCCCAGCTGGCAGTGACAACTGCCTCCTCTAAAATCCCATAGTGCACATTGTCTGAAGTGCTCATTTGGCCTGGTGTTATGCATGCCTTAAATTAGTCAACTTGGTGTAGCAACTCACTTCCCCAAATAAATTTTAAGCGCCTCAGAAATACAGACTGCATTAAATGTATTACCCCTACAGCACTCAGCATTGGACTTTGCTCATAGTATAAGAATGTCAATAAATACTGGCAGTCCTGGCTGGTGTGGCTCAGTTGGGTGTCATCCCGTGCACTGAAAGGTTGCTGGTTCTGGTCAGGGCACATGCCTGGTGGGGGGCGTATAGGAGGCAGCCAATTGATGTTCTGCTCTCACATTGATGTCTTTCTTTCTCTCCCTCTCCCTTCCTCTCTAAAAAAAATCAGTGAAAAAAATCTTTTAAAAAAATAAGTAAATAGCCCTGGCCAGTTTGGCTCAGCGGTTAGAGCATCATCCTGTGGTCCAGAGAGACCCGGGTTCAGTTCCCGCTAAGGGCACGTATCTATCTCGGTTGCAGTTTGTCCCCAGCCCTGGTTGGGTTGTGCAGGTGGCAGCCACTCAATGTGTACTTTTCACGTCGATGTTTCTCTCTCTCCCTCCCACTCTATCTGAACAAAAAATGGAAAAATGTCCTCGGGTTAGGATACAAAATAAATAAGTAAATAAATAAATAAATACTAATTGGCTGAATGTTTGTTTGCTCTTCACATTTCTTTTTTGTGGACAAATGTCTTTTGTCATGTAAAAAATGTAGCACATATCAAGTTATGTTTAAATTTGTTTTGTTCTGAACATTTATAAGGACAGTCCTTTCAACAAAGGGCACTGGAAAAATTGAATATCTACATGCAAAAAAATAAAGTTAGACTATTACCTTACACCATATACAAAAATTAACTCAAAATACATGATATATATAAACTTAAGAGCTAAAACTATAAAACTCTTAGAAGAAATACAGAAAAAATCTGCATGATGTTGAATTTGGCAATTGTTCCTTGAATGTAACACCAAAATGTAGGTTAGGTAACAAAAGGAAAATTGATTAATTGAACTTCACTAACATTAAAACCTTGTGCATCAAGGGCACTATCAAGAGAGTGAAAAGACAACCCACAGAATGGGAGAAAATGTTTAAAGAATTCCTATGACCCTACAACAAAATCACAAACAACCCAATTAGAAAATGAGCAAAGGACTTGAATAGACATTTCACCAGAGAAGATATACAAATGGCCAATAAGCCCATGGAAAGATTCTCAACATCATTAATCATTGAGAAAATGAAAATGAAAATCATAAGGAAATACCCCTTTATGCACATTAGGATGGCTTTTTTTTTTTTTTTTTTCTTTTTAAGGAAAATAAGTATTGGTGAGGATGTGGAGAAATTGGAACCCTTATGCATTGCTGGTGGGAATGTAAAGTGATTCAGCTGCTGTGGAAAAAAGTTTGGTGGTTTTCCAAAAACTTAAAACAGAATTTCCTTGTGACCCTCCTCTGATTTCACTCCTTAGTAAATATCCAAAAGAATTGAAAATTGGTCTTCAAATATAAGTACAAATATGTGTACTTTACTCTTCAGCAGCATTATTCATATTGTCAGAAAGGTGGAAACAACCCAAGTGTCCCTAAACAGATAAATGGATTAAAAACAGTGGTAAATGCATGCAGTGTGATATTACTCAGCCATATATGAATGAAGTTCTGATACATGCAACAATATGAATAACCTTATGAAAACATTGTTAAATGAAATAAGTAAGACATAGAAACACAAATATTGTATGATTCCACTTATATGAACTATCTAGAAGAGATAAATTCATAGAGACAAAAAGTAGATTAGAGGATTCCAAGGGTGTGGGAAATAATATTTAATGGATACAGTTTCCATTTGGGTGATGAGAAATATTGGAAATAGATAGTGATGATGGTTGTACAACATTGTGAATGAAGTTAATACCATTGAGTTTTATATTTAAAATGAGTATGCCCAGCCCTGGCCAGTTTGGCTCAGTGGTTAGAGCGTCGTCCTGCAGTCTGGAGAGACCCGGGTTCAGTTCCCGCTAAGGGCACGTACCTCAGTTGCAGTTTGTCCCCGGCCCTGGTTGGGTCGTGTGGGTAGCAACCATTCGATGTGTCCCTTTCACATCGATGTTTCTCTCTCTCTCTCTCTCTCCCCCTCCCACTCTATCTGAACAAAATATCAAAAAATGTCCTCGGGTGAGGATAAAATAAATAAATAAAATAAAAGATTATGGCCAGCTGGTGGGGATCAGTGTATTGAGCATGTTTCCATGTACTGAGAGATCCCCATTATATTCCCAGTCGGAACACACACCTGGGTTGCTGGCTCAATCCCCAGTAGGGGGTCTTGCAGGAGGCAGCCAATCAATGTCTCTCCCTCTCTCTCTCTCATTGATGTTTCTCTCTCTTCCTTCCTCTCTCTAAAAAAGAAAAAAAATCAATTAAAAGCATATTAAAAAATAATCTGAAAAACTGAGTCTTCCCTCAGTTTCTTCTGGTCTTAAAAAAATAAAAAAGGCTGCCCTGGCCAGTTTGGCCCAGTGGTTAGAGTGTCAGCCTGCGGTCCAGAGAGACCCAGGTTCAGTTCCCACTAAGGGCACATACCTCCGTTGCAGTTTGTCCCCTGCGCTGGTTGGGTCATGCGGGTGGCAACCACTCAATGTGTCCCTTTCACATAGATGTTTTTCTTTCTCTCTCTTCCCCCCTCTCTGTCTGAACAAAAAATGGAAAAATGTCCTTGGGTGAGGATTTAAAAAAAAAAGGCTAAATGGGACACATAAAATGTCAGTACTACTGAGGTTGAGAAACCTGATTTAGGGTGTGTTGGACTTAATCCTTTCACAAATTTGATCCCATATGTTATTTTTCAGGCTAATGTCTTGATTGAAAACTGATAACTTGTTTAAAATTTTTATTTAATTTGTACTTTATAAATTAAAATATCTTTACAGACTCCACAGTATATGTATCTTTACAGTATATGTATCAATATACATATACTGAGTCAGTGAAATCATTAAAATACATAGTACTTCTAATTATAAGATAAAGAGCAGGGTCAACTTGTTCATATAGGTATTTGGAGCACATTAAAATAAATTGTTTTGTATTGTTGATCAGTAGGTTACCTCTTCTCAGTTTGTATTTTTTATCTACAGTTTGGCTGTATCACCATAGCAAGTCTTCATAAATTTTCTTTCAGAATTCCAATAATAGTTATTATATATCCAAGTACTGGAGAGTCAGAGTGAGCAACACTTAGCAGTCTCTACCCTCATGGAGCTTTATACTCTAGTGAGGGGAATGATTATCATGGGAAAATGTATATCTAAGTATCACGAGAAAATTATATATGTAAATATTAAACAAAATGTGATCAGTGCTATGAAGGAGAAATCTATGTAGCACAGAAATGTTCCCTCTTCTGTGATTCAGTTAAGATCTACGGAAAATAAGGAGTGCAGGGGAGTAAAGGGAATTTCAACAGGGCAGGGGAGAA